ACTCCGGCAGGTGGTGTTCTTTTACCTCACGTGTCCAGCAGCACAAGAGGACTGTGAGAGAGTATGTATAGTTATTGCCTGCAAGAAGAAAAAAGGAACCCACTGCCCCGGTCGCACACTCCCACACACGCATGACGATTGCGCCTCACGGTGGCTGCGGCCTCGTGCCTCGTTTGGGCGGTCCATGCGACGCACAGCCACGAGGCCGTCAACGCTTGTGTGTGGGTGAGCGGGTGGCAGCAGCAAACAGGAAGGGGAAAAGGGTGCGCCGCCCGCGGGAACGTGCATGGAGTGGCGAAGCAATAAAGAAAAAAAAAGGTGAAAAGAAACCATTCCTCAGAGCACAGGAGGGAGTCAAGGATTGACCCACAGGGACGACAAGCAAAATGAGCGCGCAAAACGTACGCGTCGCCCCTGCCAGGGTGTGTAGGTGTGCATCTTTTGCCCCTCACCACTTACCCAGCAGCGCAGGCAAGGGCGGCCGTGAGTAGCAGCATGAGAGGCACACACACAAACGGAGTGGAGGTGGCACTGCGATCCGCAGCATTTGCCACGGCTTTCTGAGTGGCGTTGCTGTTGGTGGCACTGCCGCCCGCGTTGCTTTTCGCGTGGCTCCCAGCACTCGGACTGCGGGTGGTCGTCGTCGTCGTTCCATCGGCTGCCCTGTCGCCTGCCGTCTGTGTTGGTGTAGCCGCATTGCCAACCGATGGAGTTGTAGTTTCCTGAGGACCTTCTGGCGATGGTTCCCGACTTCCGCCTCCCTCCGCACTGTCTGGCTGCTCCCCAACAGCAGCAGTGGAGCCTCCATTCCTCGTACGGCCTCCGTCATGAGTTCGCGCTGCAGATGACGCTGCTGCTGCATTTGCCGGTTGTTGTTGTTGTGGGCCTGCTGGCTGCTGTTGTTCTGTAGATTGGGGTTCTGGCTGCACTTGCGTCGCGGTTTGACTGGAGGTTGGGTACTCACAATCGCCGGACTCGCCCAGTGGATTGTCCGTTGGATTGAGGGTGACGGCTTCGCCCTTCGACAGATTGTGCAGCGCGCTGTCGGCGGCCGCCGTACAGTTCAACCTGAACGCAACAGCGTCTCCGCCCTCCGTTGGGGGTGAAGGGCACTTCCCCGTCGAGAACTTCTCCAGGAACGCCGATCCGGCAGTGAGGCAGAGGGAATTGCTGCCAGCATCGCCTTCAATGCTCCCCGCGCCTGTCACTGCCTGCGGGCACTCCTTCCAGCCAGAATTACTCTTGTCAGCAACGCGCCAACGCAACTTGTTGCCGGCGGTCGGGCACGACACTTCCACCGACACTTTCACTTTAGCCGCCGTCGCCGCGCCGCAGACAAACGAGGGGCAGCAGCCGCTGAGAAGCGCGAAGAGCGCCAGGGCGCACACCGCACGGCGCCGCACCGTCAGCGCCATCGGCAAAAACAGCGGTGGTGGTGGTGGCAGTAGCGTCGCAGCAGAGCCAGTGGGCTGCGGGGCAGCGAAGAGGAAGAAACAGAGAGAGAAATGGGGAGCGCGGTGGGGTGCGGCGCAGAGAGTGAGAGCAGGGAGAGGGAAGGAAGAAAAAGACGGCAGCCCACTAAGTTCACGCAGCAGCGTCCCGCAGCCGCACGAAAAGAAACTCATCCCGCCCCCGCCCCACGCAGGCGTCTTTGGCGGCGCCACGGCATTTAGGAGAAACAC